CCTCCTCCTCCACCCCCTTCCCCCCTCCAACTTATGGTGGTGGTGGTGGAAAAGAGGCCCATCAGCCTGGCCAGCCGCCAGAGTGCAGCCAGGCGAGCCCACGCCCGCTCCCCCCAGCGAAGGCGCGCCCAGGCACTGCGCTGCGCGGCTCTGCGTGCCGTCCCCTCGCGGGCCTGCTCGTCCCGCGCTGCCTCCTGTCGGGGACACGTAAGACTTAAGTCGGGCCTGTCCCTCTACAGTGGGGAAATTCAAAAATAGTTTAAACATAGTCTGGGGACTATTGTTTGAGTATGTTGGGGCATTTTTGGAGGATTTCTTGAGTAGTTCTATTTTTTCGTCCAAAATCCCCCTGTAGGGGGACACGCCCGACTTAACGTAAGACTCGAGTAAGCCGGAGCTCGGCTTTGCCGACATTTTGTGACGAGCGCGTCTCGTTTCCGTGGGATGTCTGCAGCAGGAGCCCGCGCCAAATTTCAGATTGTGTCTCGCCATTTTTAGGATGGCTCCGTCAGTCCAACCCGAGTCTCAGGAGGGAAGAAAACACACAGACACAATTCACCGTCGATTCTCCAGAAGATGTGGGAAAAGATGGGAAGTGGGGGGGGGAAGACACAAACCCAGAACATGTTGGAACATATCCGGAATCCTGTGATTTGTGTGTGTATTCATTTGTGTGTCCCAGGGCCCCTTCACCGAGTCTTGCGTCTCCCCGATCCTGCTCCCTCCTCGGTCTTGGGGGGCAGGCTCGGCGGCTCACGCCGGCCGCGGCGCCGCCGTGCCCGCTGTGCAGGGCCCCTCGTTGCGCCCTGCTCGCTGCGGCCTCCGCCTGGCCGGGTTGCCCGGCCCCGTGGCAGTCGCTGTTCGGCCCCTTTGGCCGCTCTTGTTTGTTGCTTCTCGTTGCGCTCTCCCTCCCTCTCTCTCTCATTCTCTCATTCTTGCCCCAGCGATGAGGGCTGTGCCGCTGCGCCAACGTCCTGCTCTTGCTCTTCCTCCCCCCCCCCCCTCCAGGGCCTCCAGTCTCGCGGGCTTGCGCGTTGCAGGTGTTTCCTCTCCCCCCCTCTCGTCGTCCCTCTCCAATCCTGCAGGGAAGCTCCACAAAGTGGTCCGGGCCAGCCCTTCCAGTCTTTCCTCCAGCCCTGACCAGCTCCCCTCCGCGAGCAAACGTCAAATTAACTCCCTGGCCCCCGTACACGCCAGTCGTTGACAGTAGGTATTTCTGGATTCCCAGATCCCAATCTACTTCAAGCGCCTTCCTACTTCAAGAAACGAACTGCTTTTGGTGTGTCTTGTTATCTTTGGGAGGGCCTGAGCCCAATCTACACTCTCCGTCTTCCCACTTCATGTTTTTACCTACTTCTTCCGATCGACCTGTATCTCGATGTGCTTGTTTTTGTTCCCAGCTCTGGCCACTTCAACCTGGACGGGATTGTCAACCTTCCCTCCCTTGCTTGCTTTTTTTATTTGTCATTTTCACACAAAAATGGGGTTCCCCTCACGCTGCGGTCGTGCATCGTGGATGCGCGCAGGAGGTGCTGATGCTGTCTGAACGCGTGGCTGTGAGGGCTGGCGCATGATTCCTGGCGGTGGTTTATGTCGGAGGTGACGATAGGGGCGAATAGCCTAAAGGGGGGAGCAATACATGCATCCAGGGGCGCTGATGACCCATGTCTTCGGCGAGGCTCCCGGGCGAATGCGTGTAATACCCGCCCCTGGGCTATTCGCCCTTACCTTCGCCGCCGATTATGACGACGTCGTGCTGTCCTGAATTTGCCTCTCAGACCTCTGGCTCCTCTGCGTGCTCTCCCTCGGCTCTCTCCCTCGGCTTCCTCTTCGTCGCCGCGTTGTTCGGCGTAGCGCCTCATCCGTGTTGCCTTCGTTGTCGCTCACTGCCCAGCGCGGGGTGGCGGAGCCTCCGAGCATGGAGGATTCAAAACACGCCGTGGCCCTGGGCCCGGGAAGCAATGAGCAAACAAGCAAGCACAACAGGACGACAAAAAGACAAAAACAGCATCGGCCTCTCAGAGAGGGCTTCGCCTTCGAGGATCGAAGGAGTTGGCATCTCTTCCGCGGCGGAAGGCCAGCGGAAGGCTTCGGGAGCAAGACGGGAGCGGCCACGCCCGCGGAGGCCGGCGGACGCCATAGATGCGCCTTGAGAGACGACATCGGCCATGCGTAAGAGTGGCCTTTCGCCGGGGTGTCCTGCGGCGCGGGCACACCGGGGTCCCCAGATGGCTGAAAACGATTCGATAGTTATCATTGGCTTGCGCGCTCCGAGTCGGCCTCCCCGCGGCCCCCGAACGTCGCGCACGCTCCTGCCCAGGGCCACTCTGACCTGTAGCCGGTGACAGCATTTTGGGGTGCAAGTTTCGGGAACCTGCCACGTACGCGCAGACACGCCAGCCACGCACCGCCTTGCTCCCCTGAGATCCGCCGTTGCAAAACAAATGCAACATCGCAGAAAGTCGCGATTGGAGCCCCGAACCCCATCGTTCTGCATCATTTGTGGAGCCGGATCGATCTCTCAGGGTCCCAGAGCCCGAAATCGAGCGAAAACGCCAGTGGCGACTGCGCTTACTCGCGAGGTCGGGCGTGCGCACCTCTCCCGCGAGGCGCATGTAGCTCTCGGGGGCAACAGAGGAGAAGGAGGAGGAGGGGGAGGAGGAGGAGGGGGAGGAGGGGGAGGAGGAGGAGGAGGAGGAGGAGGAGGAGGAGGAGGAGGAGGAGGAGGAGGAGGGAGGAGGAGGAGGAGGAGGAGGAGGAGGAGGAGGAGGAGACCCAGGTCGCAGAAATCAGGATGCGAGGGTCCGTCAATGGAGCATCCTGCTCCGCCGCCCCCGGGGGTGCCTTACAGGGCGAGGTGTCTCGCCCCTCGCCCGTCCCCCCCGGGGCCGGGCTGCCTGCCCTGCTGGCCCTGCCTGCGCCCGCCAGCAGCGCGGCAGCCTGCAGTCCGAGTCCGAGGCCTTTTCTCCTCCTCGCTGCTCCTTCCCATGGGCGGCGCGCCCAGGGGGGCAGGAGGGCTGAGAAGGCTCAGCCCATTGGCGGAGGAGGAGAAGGAGGAGGAGGAGGAGGATGCGGAGGAGGAGGAGGAGATGAAGGAGGAGGAGGAGGAGGAGGAGGCGGAGGAGGAGGAGGAGGAGGAGATGAAGGAGGAGGAGGAGGAGGAGAAGGAGGAGGAGGAGAGGAAGGAGGAGGAGGAGGAGGAGGCCAGCGCTGGCGGGCCGTTTCAGACGGATCAGAGGGCCTCTGACTTTCCAAGAAGCTTTGTGGGCCTTTTCTCCGAAACCCCGCCGCCTTCGGAGAAGAAAGCCCTGGCCCCTCCCACTTCCCCTCTCGGCGGCGCTCCGCCTGTCCAGCGCGTCCTCCCTCCTCCCTCCTCCCTCTGTCTCCTACCCGCCTCTGTCCTCCCATTGTTTGTTTCGCCTCCTCAGCCGGCCCTGGCCCCCGGCCATACAGGACCGGACTTGCGCAGATAACGCCGCCATGGTGCACCTCGACGACGCCAATATCCTCGAGAATCTGCGCAAGCGCTACGGCAAGGACGAGATCTACACCTACACGGCCAACGTGCTGCTCGCGGTGAACCCGTACAAGGACAAGGGGCCTGGGTGCACCGACGCACGTATCGACGCCCCCTCTTCGCCCCGCTTCATCCCCCTCCCAGCTCCCCGCCGCTCCTGCCCCCTACTCGTGTCTCTCCTCCTCCTCCCCTCCTCCTACTCCCGCTCCTCCTCCTCCTCCTCCTCCTCCTCCTCCTCCTCCTCCTCCTCCTCCTCCTCCTCATCCTCATCCCATCCTCTTCCTCCTCCTGCCTCCGCCTCCTCCTCTCCTCTCCTCCTCCTCCTCCTCCTCCTCCTCCTCCTCCCCCTCATCTCCTCTTCCCTCCTTCCCTCCTCCTCCTCCTCCCCTCCCTCCTCTTCCTCCTCTCCTCTCCTCTCCTCCTCCACCACCTCCTCCTCCTCTCCTCTCCTCCTAATCCTCCTGCTCCTCCTCCTCTTCCCTGAGGCGTGTTGGTAGGGCAGGCAGGCGTTTCCCTTGAGACGTCCTCACCGCTCATTATCCTCAAGCTGAGAATATGCCAAAACTTCAATGAAGGAGGGCGGGTCGTTTTCAAAATATGGTTGTCGTCTTTTCGCCGCGCACGTTCGTTTTGAATATTGGCTAGAGTTGCACCGATGGAGAGCGGGCCGTTTTCAAAATGTGGTTCTCGCATTAGCGCCGCGCCCATTCATGTTGAAAAATTGCAAGAGCTTTGCACATGGAAGGGGGAGGAGGAGGAGGAGGAGGAGGAGGAGGAGGAGGAGGAGGAGGAGGAGGAGGAGGAGGAGGAGGAGGAGGAGGAGGATGAGGAGGAGGAGGGAGGGGGAGGGAGGGGGAGGGGGGGTGGGAAGGGAGGAGGAGGAGGAGGAAGACCGGCTCCTGCTCCTGCTGCCGTCCAGGGGCCCAGGGGCACGGCGTCCCACATCTGATTCCAGAGGCCTCCTCCTTGTCCCCTGTTCCCCCTTCTCGTCCCCCCCTCCTCCTCGCCCTTTGCCGCCCCTCCCCTCCTCCCCCCCTCCGCCCTTTCGTCCCTCCCCCTCTCCCCCTCCTCCCCTCCCCTCCCCCCTCTTCCCCCTTCTCCCCCTCCTCCCCCTGCAATCCTCCACGTCTCTGAGGGCATGGGCCATCTCTACACCGCCGGCACGATTGGCACATACCGCAGAATCTATCCCTCCTTCCGCCCGTCCTTCCTCTTCCTCCTCCTCCCCTCCTCCCCCTTCCAATTGTCCACATCCCTGAGGACATGGGCCATCTGTACACCGCCGAACAGATTGATAAGTACCGCAACAAGAACTTGGGCGCGGCACCACCGCACCCTTATGCAGTTGCAGATACCGCGTACCGGCAGGTCTGGCATAATCGAGCCCTTCATTGTAAGCGACGAGCGAAGAAGAGCAGGAAGAGGAGGAGGCGGAGGAGGAGGAGGGGGTTCAGGGGAGGCGGGAGGGAGGAAGAGGAGCAGGAACAGCGGGAGGAAGGGCAAGAGGAGGATTGGGGATGAGCAGGAAGAGGAGAGGAGGAGGAGAAGGAGGAGGAGGAGGAGGAGGAGGGACGCAGCAATTTTGGTTCAAGGCTTGAAAATCACGTCGCAGGATTTCGAACTGAATTTTCTGTAGTCGTGCGACAAAAATCGAGGGAGCTCCCGACGTAGCTCGTTTTTGGGACCGAACTCGTGATCTGGTCTAACGGGGCTTAGGCCCCGAGATGGCGCAGCAAAGGTTTTAGCTGGATTGGTTGTGCAAATATTGTGCTAATTAATCATGTCGGGGAGCCTCTTTGGGATTGAGCGTCCAATGCGCAATGTCGGGGAGGGCGTCTTCACAAACGGTCACTGATCGGTGCGATCGGGACCAGCGTCTGGACTAGTCTGTCTGAAAGGCGCTTTCCAGATCACCTCCGAAAGGCGCTGGCTCAGATCGCCTCCCTCGAGGCGCAGCTTGTGGCTCCAAGGGGCGCGGGCGGCGCCACTGATGCTGGCACCATGGAAGTAGACGTTGGTGCCGGCAGTCCTTCTGGAGGCGCTGACGTTGTCGAGAGCGTCGAGCGGACCAAGGAGAGGCTTGCCATCATATCTCAGGAGTTGGTCGGACTCGAGAAGCTTAGCGGGGCCAGCACGTCAACCTGCCTGGAAGACTGTAAGCTATACGGCACAATATGTAAGTCTCCGACTGTGCTGTCCACATGCAAGTTATAGCCAGGCGCGCCATGCAGGCAAAGCACGCGCAGGAGCAGAAAGAAGGCTGGCTGGCAAACGTTACGGAACAGCTGGAAGACGCTACATCAGCCAAGGACGTGTTTGAGGAGGCTTGCAACACGGCGGGGCAGCAAGTTCTTTCATGCAAGGCGGAATTATGATATGGGCTGCAGCAGCGACATCCACTAGAAAGAAACACTCGATTGCGCAGGCGTTACGAGTGTCTCTGGAATCGCCCTCGTCGTGGACAGGTTTGGGGATTTACTGGCTGAGCTTGGTGCTGGTAATGAGCTTCGTGGCCAGTTGGCCGAGCAGATCAAAGCCAGGTCAAGCGAGTTATTCTCCATCAGGGTCGGACAACAAGGCGAAGTGGCAGGAGCAGGAACTGGTCCAAGTGAAGCGGCCCGTGTTGTTCAAGAAGCAGCTGACACATCCATCCAGGGTGCGCAGCAGCAGATCGCGGAACTCCAAGCGGAAGTGCGGGAACTCAGGAAAAGACAGCATGCACCCAAATCCAAAGCGATAGTTGAGGGGGCAAGTGGGCACCCAGTGCAGCTGGATACGTATGAAATGTCGAGTGAGGTGAGCTGGAGAAGCTCAAGAATGACATCACAGAAGTCTTCACGCTGGTTGATGGAGAAGCATAACGGAGAGAGTTTGAGATACTGGGGTGCGAAACTGCGGGACTGTGGTTACGTGCCTCTTTGTGCTGATCTCGATTGAAGCGGAATTGGCGCGTCTTCTGGCAAAGCTCAAAAAAGGTGGGGGCGTTGGTTACGGAATGCGCCCAGGAGATTGCAGACCCTGGAGGATTCTTTATCTGATGAGGGCGGCGGTGATACCCATGGCTATCCTCTATTGGAGTTCCATCGATCTCCAGACCCTGGATTCCTTATCTAAGGGTTCCTTCTCCAGTGCCCCCGCCGTATGGTTTCCACGGTGACCGCCAAGGCCTCGATGTTGGGGGATGGTGGAATGCGAATGAGTCAAACGTCATTCACGCACCAGGGTCCTGTAGATCAAGGGAGGGAAAACAACCCGGACCGGATAATTTGGGGTTTACTAAACGGCCTTGGACGTTTACTAAATAGCCCTGCCCTGTTCGATTTCTTCAGTGGGGGCGCTTAGTAAACGGCTTCGCGTGTCGGGGTGTTTTTTTTGGGGGGGATTTTGTCATCTAGAGAACCATGGTCAGGAGCATTTGGAGATGGAGGCGGTGTCCCGCTCGTCAAGGCGCCTCGGAAGCCTGAACGCCCAGCTGGCGGCGACCCGCTTCACGGGACGCCCGGGGGAGTGGCCCGCTCTTCGGGGCGCCCCCGCATGGTATGTTAAGTCGGGCGTGCCCCTCTACAGGAGGAATATCCAAACATAGTAAAAACATAGTATGGGGACGATTATTCGATTATTTTTTGAGTATGTTCTATATATATATATATAGATATTGACAAATATGTGTATATATATGTGTAATATATAAAGATTCGTTCAAAATCTGTCTGTAGGGGGACATGCCCGACAGAAGCACGGTGGCGAGGAGCATCAGGCGAGCGGCGGCGCGCCCGGTTCGCAAGGAGGCAGTGGCCTGCTCATGGGGGAGCCTCGGCAGCTTGAGCACGCAGCTGGCGGTGGCCCGCTCCACGGCGCGCCAGGGGGCAGTGGCCCGCCGAGTCGGGGTGCCCCAGCTTGCTGATAACGAGCACCTGGTGGGCGGCGGCACGTCTGGTCAGCGGGGGGGCAGTGGCCCGTCGATCGGGGAACGCGAGGAAGGG